GCGCCCGGCCTGTTTGGTCTTTTGAAATTATCTCTAGCTCTTTGCTGAATTTCTCATTCAAATCTTGAATTATTTTCCTGATTTCATTGAATTGTCTATCTGTATTCTCTTGTATCTCACTGATTTTCCTTACAATTATTATTTTCAGTTCTTTTTCTGACATTTCATATATTAATATTTCCTTATGATTGGCATCTGTTACTGGAGAATTACTATTTTCCTTTGGAGGTGTCATGTTTTCTTGCTTTTTCAAGTTTGATGTGTCCCTACATTGATTTCTATGCATCTGATGGAAAAGTTGCCTCTTCCAATTTTATGAAGTAGGTTTCAATGGGAAAGCCTTATTCATACGGATGGGTCTTGGAGTGTCAGTTTGGTGGGGTGCACTGGCCTTGTTTCTAGGTGGATGCAGTAGTATCGTCTCCTTGTAACCCACACTAGTGGTATTTGTAAGTTTCTCAGTGGCTTAGGCTTTTCCCCACAATAGGAAGTCCCTCCTGACTCTAGGCAGATCCAATCCAGGCAGGGGAGATGGGGCTGCAGAGGCCAGGTCCTTCCACACTGCCCTCCTGGACTTCCAGTTACCACAGGTGTATCTCCACTCCCCTGCTGCACTCCAGCACTCTCCCTTTGACATTCTAGTCAAATCTTAGCTGTTTATTCATTGCCTTGGTCCTTTCTTGTGGGGGAGGGGATGAACACCAGGCATCTCTAGTCAGCCATCTTGCTGATGTCACTCTCTAATCTTTATCTCTTTATCGATAATCTCTATCACTTGAGACATTATTCTCCTGGTTTCTTTAGTTCTTTGTTCATGGTTTCTGAACATATTTAAATTAGCTAATTTACAGTTTTTGTTTAGTAAATACAATGTCTGGGCTTCCTTGAGGACAGTTTCTATTAATTTTTTTCCTGTGAATGGGCCATACTTTCTTGTTTATTTTCGTGCCTCATAATTTCTTATTGAACAAGAAGAGAGAAGAGAGAGAGAGAAAGAGAAAGAAGAATAAAGAAGAATAAGAGAAAGAAAGAAAGAGAGGAAGAAAGAAAGGAAAGAAGGAAGAAACAAAAACCTCTCTCAGTCTTTGCAGATTGTGTCTGTGTTTGGGCCTCTCCTTCAGTGTTTGAGCCAGCTGTTCACAACTCTGCCTTAGCCTTAACTTCCTGCTTACACTAAATGTCAGCCAGAGGTGAAAGCTTAGAGTCTTCTCTCATCTTTTCTTAGCACATATCCTGCCCTGGAACCTGCATGGATTTCTAAATATCTCATTATACATAATAGGTTGTCAAATCCCTTATTTTCCAAAGTAACTCTCTTCCCAGGTTTTCCTCCCAGGCTTTCAGCATTTAAGTGTTTTCCTCATCTATAGTCTTTTGTAGGGTGGCAGGGACTTGTTTCTTTTTTAAATGTGTTCAAGGAATACCCTCTGCCTAGCCACTTTTCCACCACGAGAGAGGTCTAAGTTAGGTGAAACAAAGGAAAGTGCTTTGTGTCAGTCCTTCAGAGAACCCTCAGGCATGTCAGAACAGACAAACGCAGTTTCTTGAGAATAAGGTCCATTCTGCTCCCTCCAGAACCAGATATTCACACTGGGAACATGGTCTGCTATCTTCAATACTGCTGATACACTGGGGAGGGAGTTGGGTCAAATTTAAGTTAAAATACCACAAAGCTTTCCTATTCCTACCATGTTGAGTCATCTTTTTCTTGATTTAATTTTTACTTGGTTGCTCTAAACCTTTGACTATTTTCCAGAGTTCTCACAAAGTTGATTCTGA